ACCGTACCCAGACCCTCGTTCTGACCGTACCCAGACCCTCGTTCTGACCGTACCCAGACCCTCGTTCTGACCGTACCCAGACCCTCGTTCTGACCGTACCCAGACCCTCGTTCTGACCGTACCCAGACCCTCGTTCTGACCGTACCCAGACCCATGCTCAGACCCATGTTCAGAGCATACCCAGACCAGTTCCTTTTCATCTGGACCAGAAACGCATACACAGTAATTCCAATGGTAACAATGAGGCTAGTTCACACCATTGCGTTCAGTTCCAGAGCTTTTTAAAAAAGTCCACAACGCTGCATTTGTTTGTGATGCATGAAGAAGGTACCAAAACCCAAGCAAAACCAATTGAGACCACACAAAAATAGCACAGGAACGCATCAAAAATGCACATGACCGTGTTTGCAGATATGCATCCACTTCTGGTCTGGAGATGGTGTGAACAAGCACTGAAAGCCCCTCACTGAACAAAACTAATTTTCTGTTTGGGGCAATGGAGCATTAGGAGGGCATCCAAGACACTTTGAGGGGAATTTATCAAAACTGGAGCAGACAAAATCTGGAGCGGCTGTGCACGGCAACCAATCAGCTTCTGTCTCTCATTTTCAAATCCTAACTGAAGAAAGAAGCTGATTGGTTGTCATGTGCAACTGCTCCAGATTGTGTCTGCTCCAGTTCTGATAATCCCCCCCCCCATGTGTTTTCTTTTTTTATAGCACAGTCTTGCACAGCCACATTGATGCCAATGAGCCATACTGTAACGTAGTACATTAAAAACGCATGCCAAGCTGTGACACCCCCTTCCTATGTTCATGGGGAGGATCTTTGAACGTTGGCCTTCCTATTTTATTATTTAAGAGGAGGAGCTTCCGGAAACTTCCTGATCCAGAGGGCGCTCTATGAAAGCGGAGTGTGAATATATGAATGCAAGCGCCCGTGTTTTGACTGTTCCTCATTCGTATCAAGTAGCCGCAGAATGCTGGACTGGTTCAAAGTGAGGGCTCGGACTCTGTGATGCAGCGGGAGCTTTCAATTTGAACTGGCATGACGTAGAGGGGGGTGCACATAGTCTGTGACAGTCGGCTCTACAAGTTTAAACAGAGTCCCGGCGGCAAAAGTCACCGGGAGTCTGTTTAAACAGCCCCGATGCTGGCGACGTACACTGTACGTCGTCAGTCACGAAGGGGTTAATAATGCATGCCAAACGCACCAAGGTATGAACCCTTCCTAATGGGGAGGATCTTTGAACATTGGCCTTCCTAAGAGGAGGAGCTTCCAGAAACTTCCTGCTCCAGAGGGCCTCTAAGTACATCTTCAGATATTTTGGCTCGAGCTTACACGTATTTTCCTGCAGAATCACAACTTTGTGTCCAGCCAGATACATGTTGTGACGACAGAAGCCAATAGGAACTTTGCTTTTATGAGGTATAGTTCAGCTGAAGTTAATTTACTACAGAATGGTGACCTGTGTTTGTTTCTGAACCGTTGTGTAGCTCTGCCGGCATGCTCAGCAGCTCGTGTTTTAGGATAATCCTCCATGTTTCAGTAAGATATGGAAGTTCTTCCTTCTGTGGATGCTGGAACTTTATAACACCAACCTAGAAGCTTGATTGAGGTATTTCTGGTCTCCTCATACGTCAAGGTTTTTAGGTGATTACAGAAGCATTCTTTCACTTTTCGGGCTTGAGCACTTTTGTTTTGCCCAATAGAAAGCTAACTGCCAGGAGGACACTGTTACCCGTTGACGCCTATGGGGCCAGAAATGTGCAACTCTGTCCAGAAAGAAAGCATATGTACTTTTTCAAATGATATGCAACACGATGCTCAGGCGTGAACAGTCACCTTTGAAAATAATCAAATTCTTTAAGTTGAGTGTTTGTCGCGCTTTCGGGAAACTCACAACAGAATGGTCAGGTGTGAAGAGGGGTTTAAAGTGCCACTCGGGAGTTAAATCTTAAACATGCGCCAAAAACAAGTACCAACAATGTATCTTATTTGTGTATCACTCGGCTGTAGATCTTCTTTAGAAGTAGAGTAGAAGTTCTTTATAGAAGGGAATTTTATCACTACTGGAGCAGACAGGATCTGGAGTAGTTGCCCATGGCGACCAATCAGCAGCTCTCTTCAGTTTGCTCAGGTAAGATTTGAAAATGAGACAGAGAAGCTGATTGGTTGCCACACAAATCTGCTCCAGATTTTGTCTACTCCAATTTTGATAAATAGTTAAGGTACTTGGGTGCATTTTTAATATTGAACTTTTGCGTTTAGTGTCACTTTAAGGTCCAGAGCAGACTGGCGTCTGTTGGCAATGCATAGTTGGCAGTGATGGCAGTTACAGCCATTTTCTATATAAATATTATGCAGGAGCTGTGTATTGAATACTTGACACATGTCCTGCGTTTGGATCAGCAAATCGGGTGAATGTGATCCTTTTCAGCAAATCACAACTTGTTTTATTTACTTGGATATGTACATGTAGATGAATCTATTGAGCAAGAACATCATTGATCAGGCTCTCGGGATGACATGATTTCTGCTAAACACGATCTGCATCCAAAGCTTAGATGAGTAAGGTTTAGAAAAAAAAAAAAGGCAATTTGATAGAGAGGATCGGAATAGCCCAATTTGTAGATGGATTGGCCCGTGTCTACTTGCTTCTCTTTACTGAACTGTGTTGAATTTAGCCTTTTAAAGAAAAGAAAAACCCCCAGTGCTTGGCACTCTTTGTTTCTACAAGGGACACATAACATAACCACATGACAGATTTAGAAGAACTGCAATCCTTTCTGTGGAAACAAACTTACTTTGTTGGTGTCCGCAGACCTCTAACAGCCCTCCACACATACAGGGATTTCATCTAAGCTCCTGTGTGTCTCTTTCATGTTTGTCTCTTGACAGCTCCGAGGAAGCACTTCCTTACAACAGCTGTCTTATTGGCTGTAAACCAAACGCCCGGCTTAGAGGGGCCTACAGATCTGACCAGCAATTGCGCTGTGTTCCGGAACAAACCCAGCAATTGTCTCTCCGAGGCAGATGATTTGTACAGTTTTAGTGTGTGCTTTTTTTTTTATTTCTCCCCAAGCACAGCAAATCGCCAATTTATGATATTCACAAAAGCGCCTAAGAAACGGTACAATTTGTGCCAGGGTGCTTCATTGTGATCAGTTTAGGAGGGGTTGTGACTGGTGATGAAGCCAATCCATCCATAAATTGGGTAAAGCTGATGAATCTTTTCCATATTCGCAGCTTCTCAGCTCTGGCGCATGTAGGAGAAAAACTGTGGCCATCAAACTTTTGTTTTTTTACCTGTCCAGTTACTTTTTTGATCCTGAGAAGAGTCTGGAGGGAGGGGGGGTGTAGGGAGGGGGGGTACAGTTGAGCACTGTCCTATTAGATCGGAAGGCATTTATTGCATGTCTGGGGCACATTAGTTCAGAAGACATTCGTCTCGTGTCTGGGGTACTTTAGATCGGAAGATCTTCATCTTATGTCTGGGGTACTTTAGATCGGAAGATCTTCATCTTATGTCTGGGGTACTTTAGATCGGAAGATCTTCATCTTATGTCTGGGGTACTTTAGATCGGAAGATCTTCATCTTATGTCTGGGGTACGTTAGATCGGAAGACATTCATTTCATGTCTGCGGTACTTTAGATTGGAAGACCTTCATCCCGGGTCTGGTGTACTTTGGATCATAAGCTCTTCATCTCATATCTGGCGTACTTTAGAGCGTAAGATCTTCATCTCATTCCTGGGGTACGTTAGATTGGAAGACCTTCCATCTCATATCTGCGGTACTTTAGATTGTAAGATCTTCATCTCATATCTGGGGTACTTTAGAGCGTAAGATCTTCATCTCATATCTGGGGTACTTTAGATCGTAAGATCTTCATCTTATATCTGGGGTACTTTAGATCGTAAGATCTTCATCTCATTCCTGGGGTACGTTAGATTGGAAGACCTTCCATCTCATATCTGGGGTACCTTTGATGGTAAAAACCTTAATCTGATCTAAAGTACTTTCAATGGAGATTGCAGAATAACTGGCCACTTGTGTGTCAACATCTAGCCGTTGGAGTCTCCAGAAATATAAAACAAGCTGGTGAATTAAATCCGACATCCACATTAAACTTTATTTCTGGACTCTCCTTTAAAGTATTGTTCACCACCTTTGATTTTATTGATTGGTTTTTGTTCAGCATGTATAGGAGACCTAACTTTCTTTTTTTTGTGTGTGGTGTAGATGACGACGAAGAAGAAGAGGAGGAGGAGGAGGAGGATGAAGAAGAGGAAGAAGAAGAAGAAATAGACGTTGTGACAGTGGAAAAAAGACGCTCGTCGTCTAACAAATCCGTTGTCTCCCCAACGATTTTACGCTCGAAAAACATCAACACCACCACAACGAAGAACCTGCCTACTGAACTCATCCTTAAGCGATGCGCCCCAGTCCACCAGCAACACAACTACGCCGCGCCCTCGCCATACATGGAGACAGAAGAGGTAGCTCCGCCTCAAAAAAAGCAGAAAAGCGAGGCTCCACGGCCAGTCAAGAATGTGGTACAACCAAAGTCCAAAAGCTCCAGCCCTCGCAACTACGACTCCGAAGACAGCGAGCGGAGGCGCAACCACAACATTCTCGAACGCCAGCGCCGCAACGACCTGAGGTCGAGTTTCCTGACCTTAAGGGACCACGTGCCCGAACTCGTTAAAAACGATAAAGCCGCTAAGGTTGTCATTTTGAAAAAAGCCACTGAATACGTTCATTCCCTTCAAGCCGAGGAAGAAAAGTTGTTACTAGAGAAAGAAAAACTGCAACTTAGACAGCAACAGTTGGTTAAAAGAATCGAAAACTCCCGGACTTGCTAAATTTTATTTTATTTTTTTTCCCTTCTATTCTGAACTTTCACTGCCACTTTGCACAATTTTTTGATTCTTTAAAGGAGAAATACAAAACAAAAAAAAAAGAAACACCGAATAAAGCATTTTTGACATTACGAATGTTGGTTTCATTTCAAATCCAGTTCACTCTACAGTTGAAATACAATTTTTTTTTGTATTGGATGTTTTTTCTGATTTTTGTGGTTTTTAAACAACTGGATGATATCTTTTCGAGGAGTTAAGTAGACTGCCAAATAATTTTACTGTTGTGTTATCTCTGTTTTTTTTTGGATATATATTGTTTTTGTTACTTATGTACCTTTTTGTAGATGTTTTTATGGGTTTTTTTTTGAGCTGCTGTTTTTTTTTGTTTTTTTTTTCATAATAGCCTCAGTTTTATTTTTGTTTGTTTTTGTTTCATGGTGCTCATTTTGTAACAGATGTTACTGTTCTGGGGTTAGCACTTGTACCTCTGGAGGAATTTCTGTATATACCATTATTACTATTTTGTTTTGTTTTTTGCCTTTTTGTACAATTTCCTTGGGCTACGCTCGTTAGCTCTCACTACCAATATGCGACTGGAAGTTCAGACCTAAGTACTGTAACACCTCAATGTTTGAGGAGCATGTTTTTTTTGTATACAAATATATTGTTTAATCTCTCTTGTTATGTACTGGACTAATTCTTACACTGCCTGTATACTTTAGTATAACGCTGATACATAACTAAATTTGATACTTATATTTTCGTATGAAAATGAGTTGTGAAAGTTTTGAGTAGATATTACTTTATCACCTTTTGAACAAAGAACTTTTTGTAAAGAAAGTTATATATGCCTTGTTTTCTTAGCCTGTTTGTCTCTTTTTTCCTGTTTTTTATTGTATTTGTTCATGTTTTATGGCACATAGAACCAGAGCATTTTGGAGTTCTGTTTTTTGTTCTTTTTTTTGTTTTGTTTTTTAACCATTCTTTTTTCAACCAATGTACATTTTTAGTGCTTTTTCTTCTAGCACTTTGAAATACCTCATGTTTATGAAAATAAATAGTGATAAAACATAATGCCTGGCATTTCATTATAATGCGTTACGTTTAGCTTACAGCTAACTCAGGAGTGAGTGAGAAGTTCTTTATATTTCACTAAACTCAGGAGTTAAATCTTAAAAATACATCCAAGTACCTTTAACTATTAGTAAAAATGTATCTTATTTGTGTATCACTCGGCTGTAGATCCTCAAATCATCTCTGAATTGGTGCTGACACTGTCCTTCCTTCTCGAGGGGGGCTACTTTTGTTCCTCATGCCTCTGCAAGCTGAAACCATTATTTTCACAATAAAGCCTTCAGCTTGCATGTGATCACTGTGTCATAGCTAACATACCGATCACATGATCAGGAACTATTCTAAATGATTCCCGATTGTAAAGTTAGAATTTAGTCTTTCAGGCACAGCGAGGGTTGTAAGTTCACCTTTCACAAAATGTGGAAAAGTGAACTCGCAGCTCCTTTCGCTCCTCTGCCAGGTTCTTGCTGCACTTAGCTGTGTGATGCCCCCACCAGCTTGTAGAGTGGTCTGTATACTGCACTTCACAGCCCTGTAGTCTGTAATCATCATAATTAGGGATGCACCGATACCGGTTTTTCCTGTATCGAAGTAAGAGTACCGATATTTTTTTCCCCGGTATTTGCCAATACTGAATACCGATACCAGAAGTCCCATTAAGGAAGCCAGGCAGCGTGTAAAGACTCGCCACCCAGCTTCCCGATAAGCAGGGAAGCCATCTCCATGCTCCCTCGTCACCAGGTGACAGCTGTCTGGCCAATCGGGAAGCTGGGCAACAAGTCATTACACGATGCCCGACTTCCTGCTTGGCCGGGAAGTCAGCTCCATGCTCCCTCGTCACCAGGTGACAAGGGAGCATGAAGACGGCTTTCTGGACAATCAGAAAGCCGGGGGGCCGGTAATCACTCGTCGTCTGGCTTCCTGACCAATCAGGAAGCCAGGCAGCGAGTCATTACACGGCACCCAGCTTCCTGATTGGCCGGGAAGCCGGCTCAATGCTCCCTTGTCACCAAGTGACAAGGGAGCATTGAGCCGGCTTTCCGGCCAATCAGGAAGCCGGGCAGCGTGTAATGACTCGCTGCCCGGCTTTGTGATACTGGAAGCTCAGGTATCGGGCTAGGCATCGGAGCATTTGGGCGAGTACCATTACTCGCCCAAACACTCGGCACCGATACTAGTATTAGTATTGGTGCATCCCTAATCATAATGGTAGCAGATACAGAATGTCACCAGTACACCGGAGTAAAAGTGTCCAAAAATGTCTTCACTGATGCATGTACATCATGTCACAAAACAAGGAACGTTTCAGGACCACTCTGGTCCCTTTATCATGCTCAGTATTATGAGCCTGTCATACTGAACCTGATGAAGGGACCCAGAGTGGCCCCGAAACGTTGCCTGATTTGTGATATGATGTACATGCATCAATAAAGATGTTTTTGGACACTTTTACTCCGGTGTGCTGGTGACATACTGCATCTTCTTGGATTTGAGCGGTCCCATCTACAGTCACTTCAGCACCTATCTCTTAGGGGTATACTGGTAAGGAGTGCCATAGGACATCAATTGGACTTGTAATCATGAAAATATTCAGGGGGGAGGGGTTAAATTAAGAACTGCACGAATCACATCCACCTGTCAGTTTTTCAGGAAGATCTGATTGAAAGCCTAATGTAACGCTATGGGTGGCCGCATGTAACCGCTCTCTGCATGGATAGATCGAGAAGTGAGGGAGCGACGGTATGTGTTCGCTCACTTCCCGATCTACTGAGCCGACCTGTAACAGTTTCATTGTCACAGGTCGGCTCAGATTATGAGGCTGAGTGAAAATCACTCACCTCATAATTCTCCTTTATCTTTCGTCAATAAAGTTAAGTGGAAAAAAAAAATAGTAAATTTTTTTTTTTTTAAAGTTAAGTGAAAACATTTTTAAGTCACACATGAAAAAGAATAAAAAAAAAAACAATAAAAAAAAAAATCCTCACCCATACATACATGCGTCAAGTGCGCATACGTGCGAAAACGATGATTGCGCCCATTACGCCGCATATGTTACATATCCCCGCGAACATCGCAGTGAGAACGTCACAATGTAAAAAAAACTTTAAAAAAAAAAATTTCATAAATGTTTCCTTAACCTCTTGCCATCCGCCCGTTAAGAAAAAACGGACGGACGGCTGACTCCTATCTGCGGGTTGCCGTCGACATATGTTCCTGGCTCTATCAGTCACATTTTCACAGTACAATTAATTTATATAGCGTCTGCCTTCCCAGACTTCGCACGCTGCACTTTTTATTTGCCGTTTGCCACTTTACAAATCGAATTTGATCGTCTTCATTTTGTGTCCTATATATTTTATATTACATCGGGGTGGCACTGCTCAGCTAAAGCCGATAGCAACGTGCCAACTGATTGTATTACAAAACTTTAACCACTTCCCGGCCGGCCGTTGTAAAAAAACGTCCGCCGGGAACTTCCTGGATCTGAGCGGGCGTCTTCAGACGTCCTGCCCCGCCCCCCGATCAGGCGCGCTCCCAGCGCGATCACGGCCCGGCAACTGTGCCCGCACTGTCCATTGGACAGTGCTGTTTCTATAACAAGGTATAGAGCCAGTAAAATCGGCTCTATACCTTGCGATCTAGCTGTGACAAATCACAGCTGTCACAAATGTAAACAGGGGCTGCAGTTTGCAGCCTTGTCTCTATCTCCTCTCTCACACACCGTGAATGTTTCATTAACATAATATAGGGAAAACAGTTTTTTTGTAAAAAAAATCGGTATTTTTTTCTTTATATAGTAAAAAATAAAAACCCCAGTGGTGATTAAATACCACCAAAAGAAAGCTTTATGTGTCCCCAGAAAATGGTAAAAAATTCATTTCAGTACAGCGTTGCATGACAGAATAAATGTCAGTCAAAGTACCGCAGCGCTGAATACTGAAAAATGGCCTGGCCAGGAAGGGGGTGTAAACACCTGGTCTTGAAGTGGTTAACAAAACAATTACTGGGACTGTAAAGGTACCAGAATAGTCACACGACCATACACCGATCAGCCCCAACATTATGACCACCCGCCTAATATTGAGTAGATCCCCCTTTTCCTGACCCCTCAGGGCATGGACTCCACTTCCAGGTGCCATTGTAACGAGTCACAAGTCATTGGTCATAATGTTATGGCTGATCTGTGTGTAAAATAATCTCCTCCCTGCTTAATGAACCCAGTGACCATAATATTATCACTTCTGGTTTCTCCGCTGTCATTCCCCAGCCAGAGAGGCAGAGGAAGAAGCTGATCAAACAGTCTGTGTTCTATCAGCTTCAGTGGCCTGCAACAGTGGCAAACCTGTTGCTTTGTTCTGCCTGGGCAAAGTGTAGATTTGCTTAAGGATACCAGAATTTTATAGACAGGTAGATAGATAGATAGATAGATAGATAGATAGATAGATAGATAGATAGAGAGACGATAGATAGATAGATAATAGATAGAGAGAGAGAGATAATAGATAGATAGATAGATAGATAGATAGATAGATATAGATGGATGGATGGATGGATGGATGGATGGATGGATGGATGGATAGATAGATAGATAGATAGATAGATAGATAGATAGAGATAGATAGATGGATGGATGGATGGATGGATGGATAGATGACTGGTAGGATAGAT